TACAGGTTTAATTGTTTGGAGGTGGTAAACAAACGCACGAGGTCACGAACGAGTATGCTTGGCTTCATAAAAGTTTAACTTATTGTAGTTAGCGTAGTTTTTGTTATTTGTTATTTGCATTGCTTTAGATTCAACACAGAGTCAGGTCGATGCTCTGCTCGTTCCAGTTTACTGTAGACAAACAGACTGCGGTTTTGCAGCCAGACCTCTCTCGACTGCTCAGCATGCATCAAGTTGCAGGCCTGGGCTCAAACAAATTCTTACAGTTTAGCATTGTGTGAAGATGAGCTGTTGTCAACTGATACGTTTGATAAATTCGATTTTATATGTGAGCACTAATAGTTCTGTTGTCTGGTTAAATGCAGCTGAATGTAAACCTTGGAAAAAAAAATCTTTCTTTCTTTTTTTTTTCATAGTATGCCCTGTACACTGTGCTGGATGTGCCCTATGACTTCTCCATTGTAAGTACAGCTACTTAGTGATATCAAACAGAAATCTGTGGATGCTGTTTAGTGATATTGTGTTTATTACTCTGCATTTTTCAGAAAGACATGCCAAACTTGAGAAACTGGTGGTGCGTCATGTTAATGGAGAATCTGGAACTTGGCAGGTGAGAATAAAAGCTCTTCTTGGTTAGATGGAATCATCCCTTTGATTCCATTGTTTATCATTTTTTACCTCCCCACCACCTCTTATTTAATTCCCAGTTATGGAAAAATGTTTGCCCATTGGACGGAGTCCTCCAAGGTTCTCTTACGAGGTGACGTGTCTCCAGTTTATAGACTGTGTGTGTGTGTGTGTGTGTGTGTGTGTGGTACCGTATTTTCACGACCATAGAGCGCAACGTACTAAAAGGCGCAGTCTCTGTTATCTGTGCCATTTCTGTATTTAACACACACATAAGGCGCACCGGACTATAGGGCAAGTTTTTTATATACAGGTACATGTCCTCTACTACGTTTAAATACATCTACTGCATATTTAAAAATAGAGCGGGAGCAAAACTGAGTATGATTGTGCTTTATTCATTTATTTATTATTAAGTATTAATCAAACAGGCTGTGATCACTCCTCTGAAACAGTTTATTGATGCATAAATTAACTTAAAATCCTGAAACAGTCCGACAGAATATGTTCGCTTTTATTACCGGTATCCTGGTGCCTGCAGTTAAAATTATTTAGATGAAAAAAAACCATTCAAGTATTTATTACAAAGTATTAATCAAACCCATCAAAGTCATCATCCTCTGTTTCTGAATTAAACAGCTGCGCTAAATCAGACATGCCAATTTCCCCTTCTTCTCCTGTCAGAGTCACTTTT